TGTTCTCTCGGCACCTGCACAAGCCGCCAAAGGTCACGGAGAGCCGGGGAGTTTTGTTCTGGGACAGAAGCGAGAGCGTGGAGTGCACACGGACAGGCTTTCTTGGGTGGTTCCTAAGGCGGCTCCAAGGCCAGGTTCCTAAGAGAAGTGCTGGCACGCGGAGACCTCCACGGTGGGCCCTGCTCCCTGGGGATCCGGAAGAGGGGGCGGTGGGCCGTCTTGGTCCTGGAGGAACATGTTTGCGACATCCTCCAGCTGGCCGAGGGCAGGGCGGGGGTTCTGCTCATTGCTGGCGGCTTGTGGGCTCCTTTTACTGCCGTGATTAGCCGTGACTTACCGTGACCCCAAGCATAACCTCTCGGGCTTGTAAAGTGTGGTTCTTTCAAAGAGATCAGAGAATGGTGAGGTGCACATGCCAGCACCCCGAGGGAGGAACCCTGTTGTTAGGCCTCCCGGAGCTATTTTGTACGTAATCTAGAATCAGTTCATGGGCCCTGCGGTCTTGGGCAATACTTGGCCGATGTTCCTTAATTAAAAATTTTTAAAAATTTGCTTGAAAGGCAGGAGATATGGAGAGAGACAGATGGTGGGAAGGGAGGGAGAGAGACAGAGACAGAGAACACCCAGTCCCACCCATGGGTTCACCCCCCAAATACCCACAACGGCAGGGGTAGTGGCAGGAACCCAACGACTCGAGGCACCACCACTGCCCTCCGGAGTCTGCATTACAGGGAGGTGGGGTCAGGAGTGGGAGCCGGGTGTGGGACGCAGGCACCACGCCATCGTAACTGGCGTCTCAACCACTAGGCCAAATGGCTACCTCTTCCTTATCAATTTTAGCAGCTATTCATTTTCCTCTTTTTCCTTTCATCTGTTGGGTCATTATTGTGACCCAGTGTATTGGACTTGAACCTGAAAATGCAGCACAGACTTTGAAGTCTGATTTTTTTTTTTTCCAAACTGCCTGGGCTTGATTCAACCACCTGAAAATAAGCTGGTGTTTATATGTACGTAGGCCTAGGTACCTATCCACCTATACAAGGACAGCTTCAAAGTAAGGACCCAGAGGTACCTATCCGCCTGTACAAGGACCGCTTCAGCGTTAGCTTAGTGCTGGGTGCATGTAGACACACAGCGTTCCCCGTGCTCGTCCGGCCTCGGAAGCAGCACCCCGGGCCCGACCCCGGCTCCTGGCCATCTCCGCAGGGCCCCTGCTCCAGCTGCTCTCCTCGTGTAGGAAGCTTGTGCACAGTGGCCACGTAACAAAACCCTGGCCTCTGGGTTAGCTGGGTACCAGGAGTGGAAAGTGGGAGACGGGGTTCACTTCCTCATATGATATGGAAGAGAGAGGGCGGAGGGATGGAGGGAGAGGTGGGGAGGGGCGAGCATGCGTGGCAGCTGAACAGGCAAAACACGGGCTTCAGGCCCTTGGGTGGGTTCCTGGACCTGGGCAAGGCCGATCTAGAACAGCTGCCTCCCGTAGCCATTTGGGGGGTTAAAGGAGGCAGTGCACCCAGCAGCACCGCAGTGCCGGAGCGCGGCTGGGCCACCTCCCTAGCCTGCCCTTGGCTGACTGCACCTGGGCACCGGAGACACAAGAACAAAAGGTGTTGCTGCTTGTTTTCATTTCCACAAACATGGCTGGATGAGTTACGATGCCCTGACTAGCGTGAGCGGGCAGCTTGCCATGCGGTGATGGAGCGCTGGGGCAGGCCTGTCCCCGCGAACTGGGGCACGTGCTATTTATAGGCCCCGGCGAGAGGCAAACAGGCAAGGCCGCGACTCCAGAGCTCGAGCCCATGGCTGTCAGGAACCGAAACTGAGTCAGAGGCAGGCTCGAGCTGCACAGCTCTGATGCCCTCACCTGTGGGGAAGCCGGGGCCAGCGCGCAAAGCGGGTCACTGGGTCGCTGGTTCTCCAGGGCTGCGGCGACAGTGATGGGAGGGCGGCAGAGTGGGAGCGACTCCCACAAACACTTCTCGAGGCGCCTTCGCGAGAATTCGGTGTGACTCATCACTGTGTCTCCCTGGCGCGCTGACCCACCCGGGCCACCCTTCTAGACGCGGCACCTGCTAACAGGGGCACTCGGACTTTTTAGAAAAAGGCCAAAGTCAACATCATAAAGTCCCCTTTCTGGTTTGCAAAAATAATAGCCGCTATTTATTGAACAGGACTGCGTGCCAGGCACCGTCCTTGGTGCTTTATCTGCTTCACTTACTTAACTCCCACAACCCTGGGACGCAGCTATGGTTCCACTTTGCAGGTGAGGTACTTAGATTTTTTAAATATAAAGTTTATTTATTTGAAAGGCAGAGTTAGAGAGAGACATCATTAGCAACAGCTGAGGCTGGGCCAATCCAAAGCCAGGAGCCAGGAGCTTCCTCTGGGTCTCCCACGTGGGTGCAGGGGCCCAAGGACTTGGGCCATCCTCTGCTGCTTCCCTTGCAAATTAAAAGGAAGCTGGATCAGAAGTGGAGCAGCCGGGACTCGAACCAATGGCTGGCTTGGTCCTCCAATGGCTGCAACAGCCAGGGCTGGACCAGGCTGAAGCCAGCAGCCAGGAACTCCATCCGGGTCTTACACATGGGTGTCAGGGGCCCAAGCCTGCTCGGCTCTGAGGACGATCAAGGGACACATCCAAGAGCGTCCACTTTGGTGACCGGGGCTGAGAAAGCTGCACATGGCCTTTCCGAGGCAACGATAAGATGCCCTCCTGTGTGGAGCTTCTCCTCCCCACACATCTCCCAGCCGCTGGCGACCGCGTCCCGGGCCGCAGTGCTCGCCGCTGACGGGCAGGCTGGGCTAGCCAGGGCTGCTGGTGACCTTTGCCTGCGTGCAAGTGCCGCTGGCTTCTGCTGCAGGAGACGTGAAATCACGCGAACGCTGGTACTTGAGTCTCGGGCGTCAGAAGCACGAAGCGGCTGGCGTTACTTTCTGTTGTTTGGTTCACCCTAAGAAAAGCAGTCCAAACCCTCCCTCGGTGGGAGCGAAAGCCTTCAAAAGCCCTACCGCCTCCATCCCACAACCCTGACCACAGCCCCGCATCCTTCCCTGGGGAAGGAAGACAGATCTTAACCTGACCAGGGGCGCTGTGGGTGTCTGCGAGAAGGGGTCCCGACCTTGGAGCCAGGTCAGCACAACTGGCTGGCGACTGTGGGAAATTCACTTAGCCTCTCTGGTGCGAGACTCGGGGGCAGCCCGCTGCCTGGCTTACACCACAGTCGGCCGTAGGAGGAGCTGGGCTGCAGTGGGACTGCCTGCTTCGCTGACACGTGGCTGGGCCTGAGCATGTGTGGACTCCTTGTGGTTGGCAGGGCCAGGAGGACGACAGCCCCACAGATGACACTGCCCGCCACTGGCTGCTGCCACTGCTGGATGGCTGTATGACCTCATCCCAGCCCCAGCGCCAGCCACTCTGGCTCGAACCGGAACTGGAAACCCTACTGAGTCTGCTGCAAGCCATGGCCCCATCAGCTCCTGGCTCAGCAGGTGGCAGAGCAGTCCTTGCCCGTCCTGTGGCCGTGCCGCTGAGCCTGGGCTGGGAGCGGAACTTGGCAAACAGCTGCCTTGTGTTGCTGAGGACGTGAGCTGGGCAGGCCAGAGAACCCGCGTGGTCGGTGGGCTTGGTGGGTCACGACCCTTTGCACATCAGAACCACCTAGGGACTTTCAGCAAAACCAAGAGGCAAAGCCCCAGGAAGCGAGGCTCTGATTCAGCAGGCCCAAGCAGGAGTTCCTAAAAGCGGCTTCCCGGACTCTCGGGAGCTGAGCCCACCATCTGGGCCCCTGCGTCCAGAGTGACAGCCAGGGAGCGACTGACTCACGAGGCAGAGGGAGACGTGGACCTGGGACTCTGGGCTGTTTTCTTCCTGGGAATTCCCAAGGTTTCAGAGCAGGGGCAGAGCGGCTGCCTGGTGCCCAGCCCAGCAGGGGGCAGCTCTCCTGCTCTTCCTGGACCCCCCGTGAAGGCTCCCTGCACCTCACCCCGGGTCCCCACCAGGCCCAGATGTGCCTCCCTTTCAGGCTCCTGTGGTAAAAGCGGACTCCAGGAGCCAGCAGCGGAACTGAGGGCAGGAGGGAGAGGCCCCCTGGGCTGTGCGGGCCGGGCAGGAGGGCTGTGGCCTCCCCTTGGGACAGGCGGTGGTGTGTATGCGACCCAGCAGGCATGGATGCGGGGCTGGCCTGCCTTCCAGGCCGCGCTAACCCCACGGGCCAGCTGCGGAGGGCCCAGCTTGTGCGGAGGCTCAGGGCAGCTGTGTGGCGGCAGGAGGAGGCCACGCCCTCAGCTCATCTGCTGGGAGCGCTTCCTGGGCCCTGGGCCCTGGTTCCCCTCTGCATGTGGGCGACAGGAGGTGACTTCTGAGGCCCCTTCAGCTCTGAACATTTCAGTGCGCACGGTCTCTTCCCTGGCTCCCATCCCGGCTGCAGAGTGGCCAGGCCTGAGCCTTCTCGAGGCACATGGGGGTAGGCTGCGACCCCGCCCTCGGCTGCCAGGCAGCACCTGCGCAGTGCTGCATAACCCGAGGGCTCTTCCTCCCGCCCACAGAGAGGGACGGGGAGAGAGGGCAGGACAGAGTCGCCGGGGCGCACAGACTTCTGGCACTGCCTACTGTGTTGGGATGGGCTGTGCACGCTGAGCAGGCTGGGCGCTGCAGGGGAGCGGGGTGCTAGGAGCCCTGGTTCCTGAGCGCCAGCCTCGGGCCTGGCTGGGGGCCGGGACGCTGCAGGCTGGGCGGCTTCCTTCGGGCAGCTCCTGTTCCCAGAGGACCGCACTGAGTGGGAGATGTTGGGGTGCCTCCCTCTCCCTCTCTTCCTCTCTCTCTCCCTCTTTCTCTCTCTCTCTCTCTCTCTCTCACACACACACACACACAGGCATGAGACTACTTTTGGGAAAATACAAACCCGAGGGGTGCTTAATCTTGAACTTCGATTAGTTTCAGAGACAAAGGCTGGGACAAGGGTGTGTGCACCGCTGACGTCCTACTCTCCCTGGGACAGGACTGCGCTGTGATTTGTGAGTTTATTTCTTCCAACAAAGAAACAGAAGGAAGGAAAGGAAGGGGGGCAACCCGAGTGAGGGGCTCAGGGCTCAGGCTGTCGCCAGCCGGCTCGAGTGCGGGTCCAGCGGCGTGGGGCTGTCTGGGGTGCGCAAAGCTGCTGCGCGAGCAAGCGCTGTGTGAAGACATTCCCAGAGGCTTCCAGCAAGCGGCCATATGTGCTGACACGCATGTGGACACAGCAGTCTGGCTGGCCGGCTCTCAAGACTGGTGTTTCCTAGAGCTTTCCATTGGCGAATGCTGCCTCCTGGAACTGAGGGACGAAGGTTTTGAAATAAGCCCTGGTGGGAAAGAAGAGGCAGAAAAAAATGCGGTTAGCACAGACAGCGCCACAGAACGCGCCATGCAGAGCCTTCGCGCTAACACGGCGCAGCTGGGACTGCCTGTTCACGCGTCCTGGGGTGGATTTGCCTTCTCTGCTGAGGCCAAGGCCTCTGGACTTTTCCAGGGGAGGGACACACAGCTCACTGCGGTGCAGCTCTCCCAGATGGCTAAAGTGCAGGTGGCCAGAGCTTCCCGGCTGCCAGCTGTCATTGGCCCCCGACTCAGGTCCCGCTGCCCTCTCAGGATCAGGACCAGGACCAGGACCAGGGCCCAATGCAAGCTGCAAGACAGCAACCCAGGGACGTGCCCGCGGTTTCGGTGACCTGAACTCTGGCACTGGCGGCTGCCTTTTTATGCAGTTGGACTTTTGCCTTCACCCAGGCAGGGAGGGTCTGACGAGGACTCCTAACTGGTTCACAGTCTCCATTTGTTTCCAGACCTGCAGCCTGGCCCGTGGGAACAAAAGCCAGGCTGGGTATTAAGAGAAGCTTCCTGCCAGGCAAAGACCAGCTGTGGGATCTGGGGCAGACCAGGTGGCCTTTGTGACACTCGGGTCCCTAATCTGTAGAAGCAGGGCCACATTCCTTGTAGGACAAGCAGGTGCCAGGCTGGGGGGTGACCCAGCTGTGGCACCTGCCACGCAGGAGGTCCCAAATTAGAGGACTCGGAGCCACACAAGCGACACCAGTCAGGTGGGAGAGGCACCGTGGGCAGCGATGTGGCAGTCGGGGGGAGGTGGTAGAGTGGGCATCGAAGGCAGAGTTGGCAGCAGGAGCAGGGCCTGCTGCGAGCGGGCACTGACGTCCTGCCAGAACAGAGGGTGAGGTCCCAAGTGGTGGAGGCAGTGGGTGGGCACCCAGCCCTCGGCGGCCCAGGCTGGCCTCCTGGTGCCTGCACTCCAACTCCCATGCAATCATATCAGGCCCGTGTATGCAGATGTGGCTCACCAAGCAATTCCGCTCCCCAGAACAGTGACAAGAACCAGGAAGGGCCGCCAATCAGCACCGCGCCCAGGGAGAGCCTCCCACATCTGTTTTACTTAGGACAGGGGACTAATAGGCTCCAGCTCCCAGGCGGTTACAAGTGGATGGGGCCAACCTCTGGGCAGGAGGCAGACTTGCCAAAGCCATGAAGAGTGATGACACGCAACACACCAACCAGCAGGGAACAGAAAAACACGGGGGGCCATGGCAGCTCCAACCACAGCGTGAAGACCCCACATAGCCCACAGCACACACAATGACTGCCGGCACCTGACTGTTCCCCCTGGCCCAGCCAAGTCACCTGCAACCCTCTTTCCAGGTCCTTCTCTGTCCCAGCCTCTGGGCAGCATTTAGACGTGGGCTCCTCTGTCCAGAAGCATCGTTCCCTGTGGCTGCTGACATCACCGCCACGGGCCTCCGATCTCTCTTGCCCACTCCCAGAGGCGCTCTTCGCTTCCTCTCTGCCTTCCTTTCCCCTCATGCATGGCAAGGTCAAGGTCAAGGTCAAGGTCATGGCTACTCTCAGGCTTGCATGGCCGACAGCAGAGCACTCCCCAGGTCTGCAGCCCCTCCTTTTCCTCCCTGTAGTGGCACCACTGGGTCTCTCGGAGCACCGGGCTCTGGCACCTCCGAGACCCTGATGCTCCCCGAACTCAGCCTGGCACACAGCGACTCCCACTATCTGGTGCCAAGTCATTGAAGACACGTGTTCTTTCTCTCTACTAGGTTTCTTGGGATGGCGCAGCCTTTTGAGGCTATGAAGGTAAGGAGCCCGCCCCTAGAGACACCACAGACGAGACCCGTCCCCCACCACGCACGTGTCCCACACAGCTAGGGGATGCCACAGACTGCTTTAGCCCATCCTGCAGAGTCTGAGTCCTGACCCGCCTTGCTCCCCCGCTTCCCCGCTTAGCCCACCGGCTCCAGCCAGGTTCATCTCTGTTCAGCCTCAAAGTCCTCCTTTAGTCTGTTCTCAAACTTCAACCACTGCCAAGAATGAGTGAGAGAAGGTCCCCGTCCCTGACACTTCAGACCTCACGGCCCTGACCCACAATCGCACCAGGCCGCCCCTGGCCTTTGAGCACAAGGGGTACTGTGAGGAGCAGAGAGGGCGGTCCTGGATCTAAAGTGAGGCTGGGCGGGGCCTCTGTGAGTAGGGGTGAGAAGCCCACCCTGAGTGACGCTGGCACAGGGCAATGTGTCCTGTTTCCCCACACTGTGGCCTCCTTGGGAAGGTCAGAGGTCGACAGCTTGCTGCCCTGGCTTTACAGAGACCTGCAGGCCACCACAGCAGAGGTGAGGAGGAGAGGCTGCAGGTAATCTACAAGTGGGCCCAACAGTGCCTGCTGAGTGGGGCCGGGGGAGGGGCACTCTCCACCAGCGCCACCCCCAGGCCAGGAGTAACGTGGGCCCGGAAGCTAATCGCACCAGCTGGGTTTTGCTGGGAAACTCTGGGAGGAAGGAGCTGCAACAGTACAAGGTCCCGGCACTCAGGAGGGAGCGGGCTTCACAGGCAACTCTTCCCTCTGCAGAGAGTTCTGAAGTTCCCCATCGAGTCCGGGCTTTCCCTGCCAGGCAAACTGCCTGCTGTCACCGGCGAGGCGAGCGTGGCGAGGGCTATTTAAAGGCAGGACGCTCCCAGCTGTGTGCCGCAAGCGCTTCTCAACTCACGAAGTCAGCGCGGGCAGGGAGGGTGACGACTGGCTCCCACCCATGTATGGATTTTTTTTTAAAGCAGTTTTCTTTATTTCACTTTTTATCAGAGACAGTGGAGAGCTGCCCGGGAACAGCTTGCTCAGGGCACTCGTTGTCTGTCAGTCATTTTTGAAAAAAGATCCCTGACCCAAAGACACAGTGCTTTGAGTGTTGGGGGGCGGGCTCCTCGCTTCTCCGTTAGCTGGCCTCGTGGGGCCCACAGGAGCGGTCTGGCGTCAGCCGAGCTCATCGCACCCACACTAGAGAATTTATTTTTAGGCCAATTCTGAGCTCAATGTGCCTCAGGACAAAACGTCTCTGACTCTTCACTGACCTCGGTTCCTCTGCTCGGGGTTCAGAGTCAGCTCAGTTCAGTGCTAGCATCTCAGGTAGGAGAGTAAAACGCAAGGATCAGGGCCTAGGCCAAGCCTGGGTGGGTTCTGCACAGACTGAGTGCACAGTGGCGCCGGCCTGGACCTCAGCTCCTGGAAGGCACAGACGAGTGGGCAGTCGCTGCGCCCGCAGTCAGGGGACAGGAGTGCTCCATGGATTTACATGTCCAGACCTTGGGCCCAGGGCTGAGTCCCTCCCCTGCGAAGCAGGAAGCTGAGCCTGAGCATCTCTAAGGCCAGGAAGGACGGGGAGTGGAGTGTAGCGTCCAAGGCACTTGGGTAACTGACTTCGGCCTTTCTCTTTGTCTATACAATGGGAATAATTTAAATGACGTGGTCCAAGGAAGCACTTGGCATGGTCCCTGGCTTAACAGCTGACCAACAGATGTCACCTCTTATCCTGGGGACCAAGCTGGGTCTAAGGGGCAGAGGTCAGAGCCTAGACGCAGACTGCACAAACACTGTGGATGCACAGGAGGGAAGCGAGGTCCTGGGGTCCTTGCCCTCAGTTCCCCAGCTCAGGCCCTCCCTTCCCACTTATCATGTCGAGCTGCCAGCTGGAGACACAGCGATGGCCACTCTCAGAGCCAACACTCAGCCAAAGTCATCGGGATACTGTGCGTCGTTTGGAATTCAGCCCGGAGTTGCTTGCGGCATCCACGGATGGACCCTGCAGCCGGAGGCACCTCCAGGACCTTGCTTGTCTTCTGCTGAAACCCCTGGGTGTGCTGTTTGTGCAGTTTTGGTCAAAGGCTTGGTGAGGGAGGTGGCTGCGGCTGCTGACTAGAGGGCTGTGTAAGAATCACATGGCTCTGGGGCGGGCAAATAGATGCGGGTTAAGATGCCCTCGTCCCCCATCAGAGTACTTGGGTTTGATGCTTCGCTCTGGCTCCTGATTCCAGCCTTCTGCTAATGCAGACCCTAGGAGGCAGCAGCAGTGACGGTGCAAGTAACTGGGTTTGTTCCTCCTGGCTCCCTGCTCAGCTCAGCCCAGCCTCAGCTGTTGTGGGCATTTGGGGAGTGACCAATGACAGGAGCACTCTCACTCTCTCTACCTCTCAAAAAAAGGAAAAATAAAAAAAAAAAAGAAGAAGAGGAATCACATGGGTGTGGCTGCCTACAATCAGAACACCGTCAGTTGGCCTGGTCTGTCCAGGACAGCACGAGTTATAAAGGGGAGGCTGTGGCGGGAGTAGATGACTGAACCACGAGGCAGCAGACACAGGTTCTAGTCCAGGCCCAGTCCCTGTCATCTGGACCTGGGACTCAGCGTCCTCATGTGGAACAGCAGGATTTGAACTGATCACCTCGAAGTGCCACTCAGCTGTGGCCTGAGGTGTCACCCTGTGACCTGTCTTGATTCTCCGCCTGCTACACTGGAACATGGGTGCAACAGGCCCGGGGCTGGGCACACGGCGGGTCTCAGGAGGAGGTCGTGGTGGCCGCCATCACCATCGTTGGCATTGGGGGAGTTGTTCACACACGAGGCAGCAGGGTGAGGGGCACACCACAGTGCTCTGAGCAGATCTGTGGGGCCACAGGCCATTCTGGGGAGGGCAGGAGGGTCTGTTCTCAGCCATCTTCTGCCCTCTGCCCTCCCACTGGGAAGAGGCCCAGTGAGCACCAAATAAATTGTCAAGGGAAACAGTGCCTAGAAAGTTCCATAATCAATGGGTTCTGGGGCAGTGAACAGAGTTAAGACACGGAGCCACCAGGGAGACGCCCTGAGGCCTTGATGGAGGCCCACAGGAATGAGGCCGCCTCAAAAGGGGCTTCCCTTCTGGAATTCGGGCTCTTTTATGGATCCCACAGATCCTTTCAAAAGGATAAAAACCCATGGAGGTGCTATCTGACGATCTGATCAATATGGCTTAAAAATAGTGAAAG